GGTTCTAAATTATTTAAATTAATTAATTTATTTATAATTATTAATATTAATAAGAGATGGCGCCTAACGCTTACCTCTAGTGCCAAATTAATTACGTAATTTATTTAGTAATTAGCCTTAAAACTAGCCCGATGGATTTACGGCATATGTTTGGTGATTAGCTATATTACATCGGGTTTAGCGATGTTTATATATATTACGCCTTGCCGGGGCTTGCGATGGCCGGTTGAGTGCCTTATAGGAGTAGGACGTGGGCACTGAATGTGTCCCCAGCCGGCATTGTAATAACCGTCGATGGTTACATAGTTATACGCTGGAAGAGGAGATCGGATCGGAGGTCCGGATAGCGTAACTGGCAACGCATCTGCACGGTAAGCAGGAGTTGTGGGTTCGAGTCCCGCTCCGGGCCGATTTTTTCTCCCAGCGGTTCTAAATTATTTAAATTAATTAATTTATTTATAATTATTAATATTAATAAGAGATGGCACCTAACGCTTACCTCTAGTGCCAAATTAATTACGTAATTTATTTAGTAATTAGCCTTAAAACTAGCCCGATGGATTTACGGCATATGTTTGGTGATTAAATTTTCTTTCATTTATTTAAATAAAAAAATTAAAGTAAATTTAAAATGCTGGAGTCTGGCCAGAAATTCCTCCTGACTCTGACTCCACAGCCCTGGTTATAGGTATCCTATTTATATTTGAAACTATATATCTTACAATATTTAATTAATATCTTTTTGCAGTAAACAATCAAAACACTAAATAAAATGTTCTACTTTATTGTAATTTCCATAATAATCTCATATAAAAAATTTTGTTTTCCTTACCTTTCCTTGCAATGGGTCGCTCAATTCCACTTATACGACGAACAGCTGGATGGGCTAATGGTGAACTAACCAATTGTGGAGGTGGACCTGTTGTTTGTGAACCAGGCATCTGACTTGGCAGTGATACCTACAAAAAAAACATAATCATTAATTAATTAATTAAGAAAATTGTTATTTCAAAAACAATTTACTAATAATAGAATTGATCTTACATCTTCACAAGAAGGAATAGGCAGTCCTAAAGATCTAATTGCATTCCACAAATTTGAGTCATATTTCCATGCTAAACTTTCTAATATTTGCTCTTCAATCTAGAATTAAAATTATTTAACTTTATTTTTACATATTGTTTACAAATATAAGATATTTGTTCATTTTATAATATTTTACAACAAAAAACTGACTTCATATTTTATTTCATCCAATACTAACATTCAAAACTCTTTGTAATAAACAATTTTCATAATTATATTTTTAAATAAAAGAGTGAATCAAAGTATATTGAAATCCTTTTTTCTCACACAGTAACAACTCTGGAGCAGAGCAACTGTGATGTTTTTCAAAGTATTTCCCTTCTGTCAATATTTTTGCCAATCCTTGAAGCTGTATAGTAACCATCCTTTGAGATAATCTTTAGAATTGCCTCTAATGCTTTAATCATTGCTTTGTGAATGGAAAATGAATTCTCCATAACTTCAGATACAGTATTGGAGATAAGAGAAAGTTGCAGTGTCAAATCTGGGTTGTACAATGGATATGGGATGCATGAGATATTTTTCTATGTCACTATGTTAGTAGCATGCAGATGTACATTGTCATAATATAGCTATCAACAATTGAAATGCAGATTGATATGCTTTTTGTGAATGTGATCCAACAATGTATGCAGAACTGACAGGCAGCACTGCCTTGTGACTATTGTATGTGGAGACAATTTACTGGTAGTATAATCCCTGGCAAAGAAAATAATGATCACCAATTTTCAAACAGATGGAACTTCTGCTCTGAGTTGACTTGAAATGATGATTTCCATACTATACTGGCCTGTTTCACTCAATAAAAAAAAATTGTTGTAGCCAGGTTTCACCACAAGTGACACACTGTTCATCACAAATCAATTTTAATTTTTTTCTAGGCAGGCAGTAGACAAAATTTGCTATGCACACTCTATCAGTCAAACAGTCATTTTTGTGCAATTTTTGGCATATGTTCACAACTGTTCTTTACAGCTATCAATTCTTATAGCATTAAAATTCCATTTGATGTGAAATGATGTTTTCCCAAATGATCCAATTCTGTTCGAAAAATGTTCTCCTTTTATCAATCCTGCTACCATACAGCAGAGACAACTCAAAAGTTCCGCAACAGTATCAGGGGAATGTTCTATCAGGATCTATTATAGTTGATCAATTAGTAGAGCCCACATATATAAGATATCTTCCAAATCAATTGTCCAACATGGGATTGAATAAACTCCTGAGGCTCTTTTTATCATTTTACATTTAATTACTTTTATACAGTTAATATAACACTTTTTGCTTTTTTTATTTTAAAAAAATATTTTATTATAGCCTTATATTAATTTTATTTTATTTATTAGTTTTGAATATTGTGGTCCCTAATATAATTTTAAAAAACAGTCAAAGGTAATTTACTGTATTAAAATTATAATGAAGAATACAAAATCTTTGCCTTCACTATCCACCATTTTCAGTTACTATTGAGAACCGAAAAAATACTAATCTTCACTTACAGAGATGACCTTTTATTTGTGACAAAGATTTTTATATTCTTTGTTATGGGTGTGTATCCCAACTGTCAGAGATGTTGGCGACTTTCTGCAAGCACTTCATTTGCAACGTTAACTTCAAGGATTAACTAAATTATTTAACACGTTTTTTGATCTGTTAAAGAAGATTAACTGTTGGATATACTAATAATAATAAGGAAAAGTCTATATTAATAAAAATGCAACATTCTCCAGTTAAGCAGGGAAGACCGCCACCCAACTGGACTAAACCAGTGAGTAAACGTAATGAATTCTCTGCAACAAATTCCAAGCTCATTACAGACTATAACTTACAATTGGATAAAAACCTACAAGAGACCTCTGCGGGGACAAAAACATCAATGTAAGTTTATCTCAACAAATTATTCAAGACTTATCAGGTGAGACAACTCTATCTGACTCCTCTTTGCAAAATATTCCAGACAACCTATTAGACACTTCTACAGTTCTTTGGAAAAAAATTTCAATCTTATAAAAATGTCAAATGACAAATTTTTTAATCAAATTACTTTTATTAAGGAAGAATTAGATTTAATTCACAAAAACTTACGGGAAACTAGAGAACAACAATCAAAATGGAAGAACAAATTATTAACTTACAACAGATTGATAATTTACAAGTAGAAAAAGATCTCATGCAATTTAAAATGGACTCTCTAACTAATGATAATAATAACATCATGGTATACAATTACCTTAACTCGAAGGCTATTTCTAAACTAGATATTTATAATTTTGCTGTTTCTAGATTAAATATTCAAAATATAGATCAAGGCGATATTTTAGAGGTAATCCAATTAATGAAACTACCAAAATTAACCATAAGAATAACATTTCGCAATAATCAACTTTGTAATCATGTCTTTTTTGCTTATAAAAAACAAAAACAGCAAAAACTGCTCAAAGATTGGGGAGACATACAAATTTCACCAGATCTCACAAAAAAATTCAAGAATCAGACATAAAAATTTACTATCAATGCTATATGAAATACGGAAACAAAATCCATGAGCTAAACTATATAATGACATCATAACAACAGGACGAGATAAAATTACATATAATATCAACATGAAAAGGCTGGTCCATGCAGATACCTTCTTACCACTTTCTAATTCAATAAGCACAACAAGCCGATATACATTAAATCAAAGCCAAACACAATGTGATAGTAATTTTGGGAATAAGTATTCATTTTCTGTTATAAATTGGAACTGCCAAGGTCTTAAATATAAAACTTCATATGTAAACGCTCTACTCTTAAAATATAAACTGGATATTCTTGCTATAACAGAAACTTGGATTACGTCTGATAAATTCTATACTTCTAATTTCTCCAACAAGTTTACAATGGAATTTGCATTAGCACATAAATCTGCTGGCCCAGGACGCCCGAGTGGTGGTTTATGTTTATTGATAGAAAAAGATTATTGCAAAATAATTCAGATAAGAAATTCTGCCAGCTATATACTTCTTTCCATCTCAATAAATAAAAATAATCAAGCAAATATAAATAATAAACGAATGATGATAATGGCTTATGTTTCGCCTGGAGATCTATTTACTCTAAACGAAATATTCAAAATAATTGATTCATGGCATTATATAACCCTTTACATTATTATATTGAGTGACTTTAACTCTAGAATTGGTGAAGTAATGGATTCTAAATATGAGGGACCTAATCATTTGATTCATAATATCCGACAATCCAAAGATAAACAGGTCAATAATACGGGGAAAAAGTTAATAGATACAATATCAGAATACAAAATGTTTATACTGAATGGATGCATTAAACCCAATTTCCCTGCTGAATATACTTGTTTAACTCACACTGGTAAATCTACAATTGACCTCACAATATGCTCTGATTTACTTTTAGACTATTGTCTAAAATTTATTATAACTTCCATTGACATATCTGACCACTTTCCCACAATTGCCAAATTTTCATTATTCCCATCAAAGAAGGCTGACAATCCACTCAATAATATTCCAAGAATAAAATATAATACCTCAAAATACTGGACAGAAAAATTGACAATCAGTTTCTAGCCATCCCGGAAATAATGAATTCTAATAGTGGAAAAAGATACAAGTTAATGATAACCATATTAAATGACTACATATGTATTAATAAGGACAAAAGAAATCTTCAGAATAAAATTAAAGAAGTTTGGTTTGTCTGATTGCTATAAAATGAGAATGATTACCAAGCTGAATTTAAAAAATTTAGACAAAATTCTAGTGATCTCAACTTTATTAATCATAAAAAAGCCAAATGATCTTATAATAATCTAATTAAAACTAAAAAGACAAATTATTTCCACAAAGTTGAGTTAAATCTAATTAAAAACAATAATGATGACAAATTATTCTGGAATATAATACGGAGATTTCGATCTAAATCAAATTTACTTGGAAGCTCCTTACAATAGATTTTGATACTTTTGATTTTGATATTTGGAATTACCTCTAAATATAGATACTGAAGTGTATAATGACATCTTAGATTCTGAGCTTACAATTACTGAATTAAAAGAAGTCATTCAAAAAACAAAAAGCAAATTAACTCCGGGAAACGATAATATTCCAACTGAATTTCTAAAAATGTTATTGCACAATTCTAGGCTAAAATTATTAAACCTATTTAACATCATGTATAAAACTAACTCTTACTCTGATTCCTGGAACTCAGCTAATCTCATAATGATTTATAAAAAAGGCGATCAATCTTCTCCTAGTAACTACAGGCTGATAGCATTACTGTCTACTATAAGGAAATGTTTCACCTCAATCCTTGCAACAATCAAATTTCAACAATGGATAAAAACCATGGAATTAGAAGCTGAATTTCAATACGCATTTATTAAAAATAAAGCAATTGAATCTGCAACTTTTACCTTATTAATGATACTTCAACTTTATTTATTAAAAAAACATAGAAAAGTAATATGCTTCCTTCATTGATATTCAGAAAACATTCGACTCAATATAGGTTCCACTATTAGTGCATAATCTGAAAACTTGTGGTGCGGGAGTTCGATTTCCTTCTGCAATATTAAAACTGTATCTAAACTACAACATTAAGATCAAACAAGGCAATGCCATTTCTCAATTATTAACTTTATCCCATGGAATTCTTCGAGGTGACCCTCTCTCGCTATACTTGTTTAATTTTTATCTTATTGGTATTGATCATCTTTTCTCCGAATCAACTGATGGTATTGTAATAAGTAATAGAGTTTTTCATTATATCCTTTTTGCCATGATCTTGTTCTCCTGGCTCCAACAAAAATTTCTTTACAAAGAAAAACGAACCAACTTAATAAATTTTTTAATCCAATCTACTTAACATTAAATCCAGTTAAAACTAAAGTTATAATATTCTGCAATATTGTAAAATATCCGAAAAAAATACTAAAATATATCATGAAAACTCTCTTCTACAAACCATGAATGAAGTAAATTACTTGGGAATCATTTTTGATTGGAATTTAACTTTTAAAGCACACTTCA